GGTGTAGATTGTAAGAATAGAGTAGTATGTTGGAGCTGTACAGGACTTTGGTTAGGACACAGTTGGAGCACTATGTGCAGTTCTGGCCACCACACTATAGAAGAATGTGATTGCACTGGAGCGGGTAGAGGAGATTCACCAGGATGGAGCAGTTTAGCAATGAAGAGAGGCTGGATAAGCTCTGGTTGCTTACTTTGGAACAGGGAAAGCTGAGAGGGGACCTGAGTGAGGTGTATTAAATTTTAAGGGGTTTGAACAAGCTGCATGGAAAGCATCTGTTCCCCTTACTTGAAGGGACAGTAACAAGGGGTATAATTTTAAGGTAAAAGGCAGAAGGTTTAGAGGTGATTAAAAGAAAGGAATTTCACCCAGAAGGTTTTGGGAATCTGGAATGCACTGCCTGGGAGGGTAGTTGATGCAGGCAACCTCACAATCTTTTAAAAAGTATTTGGATGAACGCTTGAAATGTCATAACCTCAAGGCTTTGGGGAAAGCTGGAAAGTTGGAAAGGTGTAGATTTACAGTAGATTTTTGTCAGTGCAGACTTGATGGACTGTAGGATCTTTTCTGTGCTGTAAATAAAAATCTGAAAAAGCAGCTCTGAAGGCGAAAGCGTATACAAATGGTAGTATCTGATCATGTGACCTAAATCAGTTACTGATGTGAGCTGCTACAGGTAGATGGTTTTGGGCATTTTTTTGACATATTAGCCTTCTTGGATTTCTCAAATGATTTGTACTTATTTCAATATAGAACCCAGAAGGAACATTGAATCAATAGAGGTGATTAATAGTATGGAAAGGATTAACATTTCAATGTCACATGTCTTGTGCTATTGCCAAAGGCACATTTATACTCCATGATCTAATGCAAAACCATTTGAAAAATCATTGCTTAAAGATCTTGGAATGATGCAGGTTAGTTTGAAACCCATCATTGCACCACTTGTGTGTGACGTTAGAGAAGCAAATACACACCACTACTGGTTTGTTATGATTCTCATATTTTACCAAATACTTCTTCACCTGGAAGAGGGCAGCAGAGTGGTGATGCTGATTGGCTGATGTGGGAAGATCTGCATCAGTACAGTCACTGCTTCCAGAAGATGGTTTGTGGAGGGCTGTTGTCAAGTGTCAAATTTAGGGAACCTTGGATAACGAGAGATATTGTGAGCCTAATCAAAAAGAAAAAGGAAGCATTTATCAAGGCTAGGAGGCTGGGAACACACGAAGCAAGGGTGGAATACAAGGAAAGTCTAAAGAAACTTAAGCAAGGAGTCAGGAAGGCTAAAAGGGGTCATGAAAAGTCATTGGCCAACAGGATTAAGGAAAATCCCAAGGCTTTTTATACATATATAAAGAGCAAGAGGGTAGCCAGGCAGAGGGTTGGCCCACTCCAGGACAGGGAAGGGAATTTATGTGTGGAGCCAGAGGAAATGGGTGAGGTATTAAATGAGTACTTTGTGTACCATAGAGAAGGACTTGGTGGATGATGAGTCTGGGGAAGGGTGTATAGATAGTTTGTGTCATGTTGAGATCAAAAGGGAGAAGGTATTGGGGGTCTTGAAAAACTTTAAGGTAAACAAGTCCCCAGAGCCTGATGGGATATACCCCAGAATGCTGAGAGAGGCAAGGGAGGAAATTGCTAGGGCCTTGAGGGAAATCTTTGTATCCTCAGTGGCTATAGGGGAGGTCCCAGAGGATTGGAGAATAGTCAGTGTTGTGCCTTTGTTTAAGAAGGGTGGCAAGGATAATCCAGCTAATTACAGGCCAGTGAGCCTTACGTCAGTGGTAGGGAAATTATTAGAGAGGATTCTTCAAGACAGGATTTTCTCCCACTTGGAAATCAGTGGGCATATTAGCGAGAAGCAACATGATTTTATAAAGGGGAGGTCGTGTCTCACTAAATTGGTTGAGTTTTTTGAGGAAGTGACGAAGATGATCAATGAGGGTAGGTCAGTGGATATTGTCTACATGGACTTCAGTAAGGCCTTTGACAAGGTCCCTCATGGCAGGCTGATACAGAAGGTAAAGTCGCATGGGATCAGAGGTGAGCTTGCAAGATGGATAAAAACTGACTCAGTCATAGAAGACTGAGGGTAGCAGTGGAAGGGTGCATTTCTGTATGGAGGGCTATGACTAGTGGCGTTCCTCAAGGATCAGTGTTGGGACCTTTGCTGTTTGTAATATATATAAATGATTTGGAGGAAAATATAACTGGCCTGATTAGTAAGTTTGCCGATGACACAAAGGTTGGTGGAATTGTGGATAGCGATGAGGACCGTCAAAGGATATAGCAGGATATAGATCAGTTGGTGACTTGGGCAGTGAGATGGCAGATGGAGTTTAATCCGGAAAAATATGAGGTAATGCATTTTGGAAGGTCTAATCCAGATGGAAAATATACAGTAATGGCAGAACCCTTAAGAGTACTGATAGACAGAGGGATCTGGGTGTACAGGTACACAGGTCACTGAAAGTGGTTACGCAGATGGAGGCGGTAATAAACAATGCAAACGGCATGCTTGCCTTCATTGGCCGGGGCATTGAGTTTAAAAGTTGGCAGGTAATGTTGCAGCTTTATAGAACCTTAGGCTGCATTTGGAATATTGTGTCCAATTCTGGTCGCCACACTACCAGAAGGATGTGGTGGCTTTGGAGAGGGTACAAAAAAGATTTACCAGGATGTTGCCTGGAATGGTGGGCATTAGCTATGAAGAGAGGTTGGAGAAACTTGGGTTGTTCTCACTGGAACGACGGAGGTTGAGCGGTGACCTTATAGAGATCTACAAGATTATGAAGGGCATGGACAGAGTGGACAGTCCGAAGCTTTTTCCCAGGGTGGAAGAGTCAGTTACCAGGGACCATAGGTTTAAGGTGCAAGGTGCAAGGTTTAAAGGTGATGTACAAGGCAGGTTTTTTACACGGAGGATGGTGGGTGCCTGGAACTCGCTTCCGGAGAAGGTAGTGGAAGCAGATACTATAGTGACTTCTGAAGGGTGTCTTGACAAATACATGAATAGGATGGGAATAGAGGGATACAGTTCCTGGAAGAGTAGGGGATTTTAATTGTGACGGGTAGCATGTCGGTGCAGGCTTGGAGGGCCAAAGGGCCTGTTCCTGTGCTGGGTGTGTGGAATGCGCTGCCAGCGGTGGTAGTGGAGTCAGATACTTTAGAGACTTTTAAACGACTCTTGGATAGGCACATGGAGGATAGTAAAATGTAGGGTATGCAGGGTAGATTGATCTTGGTAGGATGATAGTTCGGCACAATATCGTGGGCCGAAGGGCCTGTATTGTTCTATGTTCTATGTTCTAATTTTCTTTGTTTTTTTTTGTTCTAAAATTTGCTAGAGCAGTTTTGACCAACATCCTTGCCATTTGTCACATGGGACAAATTGACCAGAGAAGTTCCAAATTGATGCCTTTTATGTTTAGAGTCTTGCAATACTGAGTTGTGTTAGTGTTGCAATGGTAGACATGCGTGCCACTTACAAGAGGTTTGTCATAAGCCAAAGATCTATTAAATGTTGGATGCTGTATTCTGAAATGGCAGGCACCAGAACATAAGCAATGCAAGAGTCAGAGCACTAGAATGTAGAGGTTTGTTGATTCTTTGAACAAGTTTCTAATATAATGAAGGCAATTTGCAATACATTGAAGAGATTTTTTTTAAAAAATAAATTAAATCACAGTCAGAAACAATGCACCTCAGTTACCCTTTTAAAGTGTATTCAGCAGGCTTATTTTGCAAAATAGTTGAATTGCAAAACCCTTTTGACGCTGTTCTCTATCACAGGCAGAGAGGGTATCAGCTTTGATTGCTGATAAATTGAAACTTTGAACCCTTTGTCAAAAAAATTGCACATTTGTTTTATCAATATTGCATGAAGTAATGAACATGGTGACTTCACCCCCTCAATTTTGGTGATCATTAAAATACCATGGAAAAGTACTGATCTAGGGTACTGTTACTTTTCTGTTATTTTTAGCTAAAATATAAGATTGCTTAGTTTCTCATCCTTCACTTACCATACTTCTCAAAGAAATTACATGCCAACTGCCTCAAGTTAGTTTTTCTGTTTCCTTACTGTTAGTGATAAGTGTGTTCTATATAGCTTTTTTTCTTATCCAATGAGTGTCTCAATTAAATAATTCCCATCAGCAGGAAGCATTTTTTCTGAGTTTTAGGACTAAGATTATTTATTATTACGCACTTCTCCTGGAGATTTAAAAACAAGACATCTCTCTTCCTTGACTTTGTATCATTGTCAGACCTATGATACAGATGAAGATAAAAGGAAATCACTTACAATGAGTAACTGTCTCAATCTTTTTGGTGACAAGCCTATAGCTTCTTAGATGAACTTATGTTTTTAACTGAAATAAAATTTTTGTAAAGCAGAGAATTCATAGTTAAGCTTTGAGATTTTCTCCAGTCAAATTTCCAGGGGTTAGTTCTCGGGTGAATTTGAAGTTAAGGAAAAGTCTTCCTCCCATTTTCAAGGCAATGATGTTTATTATGTTGTCTGCCTGGTTGAACTGCATCTGGCTGATGGAACTCTGTTAGAGAGTAGTTTCTTGCTGACTTTTAAAAGCAAACAGAAAGTCTGGCCACTGCATCATGTGACTCCACCAGTTAAAAGCCTTCCCTGAATAGAGTGGGTGGTTAGGTCAGATATACATCCTGTGTTGGGTTGGTGACACCTTGAGAGATTTAGTCTGCTACGGTTTGTTGCTGAATGACCCATTCAATTTGAAATTACCCTTTTAAATGTCTTTCAGGACTAGGCATTGAGCCAGCATTAATTTGGATGGTTCCTTACATTCTCCTTGAGACAGGGAGTGCTTCAAACCTCAAAAGTAGTTAAAGAATCCTCAGGCAGCTTTCTTTTACAACATTCTTTGGTCAATTTTTAATTATACAAATTATTTTAAATTTCAGAATAGATTGGGGATTTGACACACATGCTTTAATGTTGCATATTTTTGTTTGTTCAGATCACGAGGACACAGTATGCAAATGCAATAGCAGCAACCAAACTGGAGAATTCTCCCCAGACCCCTGAACCTGATACGGCGATAACAGCATCAACAAGTAAAGACCCAACCACTAGCATGTCCACTGAAACCACTAACTTGTTCAATGGAAAGAACCGTGTGATTCGTAAGTCACTGAGTCGTATCCTTGATGCGAATTTGGTATAGCTTGCTTGGATGCCCTGACTTCTTAAAAGTGCATTCAGCTTGTATATATCGGTGTATTAACAGACTTCACTGCCAAGCATTCTGACTTCTTTCTTAATTTAGAAAGAAAAAAATGGAGATTTGAGATCAACTAAATACTCTGCATTAACTGAAACAAGCTTGTTCATTTGCACCTGAATTTATGGCTGCTGTTGCAACGGTATTTGATATGAATCTTTAAACTTCATACTTGTGACCATGCAACCTTGGTTGTTTGCCCTCCTTGTTGTTCACTGTACCTTAAACCCTGCACTGATATGTATTGAGCATGTTTACAATATCTACAGCCTCACATGAAGCTGATGACATTATTTGACTGTGAAGAATGCTGATCGCAAAACCCTTGGAATGCTGCATTACAATTCACTGGAAAGGTTGTTTTTTTTAATGTCATTAACTTGTTTTTTTTTGCTGTTCCTAACAACTGCATGTGTTTTTTTTAAAAGAACTATTTATGCTCATTTTGTTTATAGCCATGACTAACATGGAAATGAACAGTTGCCAAGAGTTTTCTGTTGTATAATGGGATGACACTGAGAGCTAGCTGAGTCTACTTAAGATTCTGTCCCTCCATTGCAGCATAAAACATATATGACTGTTCATTGTAACTGTTAGTGGACAGATTGATAGTGATTCCATTTTAACAATGACACCAACTTTTGGAAGTTGAAATGTTTCTAAAGATGGGCATCGATACCTATTCTTTCCATCCAAAGAATTGCTCCTTAATCTGTTCACTAAAGTTATTGTTTTGAGATAAGCAATGTGATTGAATGACACTGTGTGTTACCAAAGTACTATTATTTCATATTTTTGTTTTGTACAACTGATGAGGCTGCCACATTTTAGCTGGTTGCTGTGGAAAAGCTCAAAAGTTTTTTTTTTTAAAAGTTATATTTATTGCATGGTTAGAGTTTACTTCAGTTGTGACATTTGTTGAGAACTGCCACTGTATATTTTTCCATTGCTTGATTCTATATAATGTTTGTGCATTTTTATTCAGTTATTGACATGATATCCCAGACTAATGTTAAGGATGGTATTTCAGTCTTTCAGTAAAGTATAAATGAAGTCAGATTAAATAAAGTTAAATAACTTCAATGGCCCTAATTATATGAAGTCAAGATAATGATTTTCTTTACTAATTAGTTCAGAATTAGTTGTCAAAATTGGACAAATGAATTTATTTTCAGCTTATGTTTTGTTTTAATATTCTTCAGATATATTGCTGCAATAAATTATAGTCTGAATTTGGAATTTCCCAAGAAGTGCTGCATACAAAATGCATAATTCTATTGATTGATGTTTGTACAAAATTGATGTATTTTAGTTCCAGTTTTCAACACCATATAATCACATGTGGCTGTTTTTGACAAATGAGTTCATTAACCAGTTTTCAGAAACAAGTACAATGGCATTGCTTGATTTCAGTAGTGTTTTGCCAGGTAACCACTGTCTCCTGTTGTGTTGTAGTGATGAGAGTTAGCGATTAAAACAAGTTTGTCTTAACTCCAAATATATATATCTGTAATATGACATAATTTCCTCAGTGAGCATGACCTGATATTACATAATATAATGGTAATTACACAATTTTAAGGAAATGTGTCTCCTTTACTTGAAGTACATTGTCATCTAAACAAAAAAGGGTCCCTTATTTTAATTCTTCTGAATATTCTATACCAATTTTGAAATACTTTTTTGAATTATTGTTTACTTTGAGGTTTGTTACATTTTTAACAGAAGCAGCTTGTATTTTGTAAAAAGCCAATACTTTTGGCTACATTTAGTGACATCGCTACTCCCAGCCAGAACGAATGTGGTATTTCTCCTAGCAAATATAGCAAGAGACCTTGAGGGCCGTAGGTGACTGGTATTGATTTTAATCAAATAATTCCTATTTATTACAATTTTTAGAGACTTCTATTTTAAAGTAGACTCTTTTGTTGTAAAATGCACTGTTAAGGCAGTAAAAACCCATCATGGCCAACTTACTAGCTGTGACAATGGCATAATTAGGCACTCGTAACGTTTTATCTTTCCATTTCTTACACATTTCCCTGATTTTAGATATTTTTCATCAACTTGTTCAGATGTGTTATGATGTGGAGGTGCCAGTGTTGGACTGGGATGGACAAGGTCAGAAATCACACAACATCAGGTTATGGTCCAGCAGGTTTATTTGAAAACGCAAGCTTTCGGAGTCTTGCTCCTTCTTCCAGTGTTAGTGAGAGAGGTAGTATCAGACACAGAATTCATTAGTAAAAGACCAAACAGTCACACCACTGATGAGGATGTACTAAACAAACCTAAGATGCTGTTAAATCTTTAATCAGTTAGAAGGTTTTAATTACATATGTGTAAATCCCCGAATTCCTTAGAAGTCACTGTCCTGAGAGAACTAAAGGTTTTATCAGTGTAAAGAAGAGGTGTCATTTTAGGTCAGACAATGCATGTTAGGTATGAGGCCTTGTTTAGAATCTGTTTGTGCTTTTGGTTTGGAGTCAGACTAGTTTTATTTCTAAAGTAGGAATTTATAAAACGGCACATTGACTGACTGTGTCTACAAATTTTTTCTGAAGAAGGGTCTAGGCCTGAAACGTCAGCTCTCCTGCTCCTCTGATGCTGCTTGGCCTGCTGTGTTCATCCAGCTCTACACCTTGTTATCTCATATTCTCCAGCATCTGCAGTTCCTACTATCTCTGTCTATAAATTGTGTACTTTTTGAACTGCTCACGACAAACAACAACACCTTCCGGTCACGAACCATTTTAACTCCACCATCCCTGGGTGACATGTCCATCCTGAGTCTCCTCCAGTGTCACAATGACACCACCCGGAAACTGGAGGAGCAGCACCTCCTATTCCACCTTGGGAACCTACAGTCCAATGGCCTAAATGTGGATTTTACCAATTTCAAAACCTTCCCATCCCCGGCCTCATCCCATGACCAACCCTCCCTCTCATCCCCTGCCTCCTTGACCTGACACAACCTGTCTATCTTCTCTCCCACCTATCCACCCCTCCCACCTCACTGACCAATCCCCACCACTCCCTACCTGCACTCACCTATCACCATCCCACCTACTTTCCCCAGCCCCACCCCTCTGCTCTATTTATTTCTGAGCTCCCTTCCCCTCCCCATTTCTGAAGAAGGGTCCCGACCCAAAATGTCAACTTTCCTGCTCCTCTGATGCTCCAAGACTCCAAAAGCTTGTGTTTTCGAATAAACCTGTTGGACTATAACCTGGTGCCATGTGATTTCTGACCAGTTGTATTATGACCTCTAGAGCAGGTGAGACATAAACAAGGTCTTCACATGCACTCCTCATTTCCCTATTATATAATCCAGTGACCTGCATTGATGATTGTACAAATATTAGTGCGTGGAAAAAATCCTGCCTCTGAATATATGGCAGAATCTCTGTGGGCAAGTGTAATTTGATGCTTCACAATGATGGTTCATTTGCGAATGTGCATGTTAAAGAAAAGAAGGGCATTAACCCACCTTTCTGCTAAACTCTAGAAACCCTTCAGGGTCAATATTTAAAGCAACCTAAATTACTGTTTTTGTGTAATGTGATTGTAAGACTGGTAATGCTATTGTACTTTCACAATGCATAGGCAAATCCTTGAAGATATTAATTACATATGAGGTTACAGGACCATCAACCTGGTCTTTAAGTTACGTTCCAGTTCTGATGCAAGATTATTGACCTCAAGCATTAATTGTTTCTTTCTCCCCATTGACGCTGCCTAACCTGCGTAGTGTTTCCCAATGTTTTCTGTTTTATTTGCAATTTCCACTTCTGAAGTATTTATCTTTTTTACTCTTGATATGAATTCATTTTAAACACATGCATGAGAACTAACAAAATGGGATATCAATCATTAAAAATCACTACTTTTAAATTAAATATATTAACAGGACCAGTTTTAAGCAGGGTGGCAGAAACAAATTTACTTCGAAAACTTTGCTAACTAACCTATTTCATGTAGAATATTATGGATGGTTGGTATGACTACATGTTGCAACCACATGACTATAAGGAACAGGCCCGTTTATGTTTCCTGTTCCATTTTCCAATCTAAGTCAAAAAGAGGAATGATTCGACAATTATGAGGGAATAATTGTTGAGTGGGGGGGTGGACTACTGTGGATGCTATTTGTCAGAAATAGTCTGTGATGCAAGAAAGTCTAAAGGGAGATTAAGGAATTTCAAAATGGGAGTGCAAATGAGAGAAGTAGAGAATGACTCAGAATTTGTGGCAAAATAATGTTGAGTTTAATGTGCCTCTGAGATTGAGTGTATATGCATTAGAAAGTTTGTGGCAAGTCAGAGATGTCCTAAATTTGCGAATTATCACAAATTGCCGAATAATTTTCTCTGTACCCTTACATAGCCATTAACCTCATGAAAATGGCAACCTGCCCTTAACTTGCCTGAGTATTTCTAAAATTAGGCTAGGATTAGTGATGATGAATTTGCCAATCATTAGTTACAAATTAAATTTGCCTCCAAAGTCAGATTTAGTAAGTAATCATGTAAGGATCCTTTAATGATAAAATTCATGTTCCTGCAACGCCACTCAATCTCTTCAGCAATAGAGAGCAGTTGAGGAAGCAGTTTCACACAGAGAGCAGTAGATCTTTGGAACAGTCTTCCACAAATGGCAGTGGATGCAGGATTTTAATTTTAAATCTGAAATAGATAAATATTTGTTAAGCAAGGTTGTTAAGGTATATAGGCAGAAGGCAGGGATACGGAATTAGGCCATAGATCAGACATGATCTCATTGAATGGTTGCACAGGCTCGAAATGGTGAATGGCCTGCTCCTGTTCCAATGACAGTATGGAGTCCGACATTAGAGATTCTTAAAATAATTTTTTCTTGCTTTTCATTTTTTAATTACTGTTT